CTCGGACTCAGACTCAGACTCAGACTCAGACTCGGACTCGGACTCGGACTCGGACTCGGACTCGGACTCGGACTCGGACTCGGACTCGAGATTTCGGTGTAATGTTGTCAGCCTCAGCCTGTTACTAGTGACACCATGTTAGTTGTTACCAGAGGTGGGCAGTAGCGCGCTACATGTAACGGCCGCTACCTTTTCAATAGCGGTAGCGGCGCTACATTTAAGCAATTGTAGCGGTAGCGGTAGCGCCCGCTATTTAGAGCATGTAGCAGTAGCGGTAGCGGCCGCTACATTTCAAAGTAGCGCTGCCCAGCTCTCCTCGATTTTGCCAAAGTATTTGACAGTGTTCCGCACGAGCGGCTGTTGCGTAAAGAGACTCGGACTCGGACTCGACTCGAGATTTCGGTGTAATGTTATCAGCCTCAGCCTGTTACTAGTGTCACCATGTTAGTTGTTAGTCCAGAGGTGGGCAGTAGCGTGCTACATGTAGCGGCCGCTACATTTTCAGTAGCGGTAGCGGCGCTACATTTAAGCAATTCTAGTGGTAGCGGTAGCGCCCGCTCCATTTAGAGCATGTAGCAGTAGCGGTAGCGGCCGCGCTTTGGGTATTGTAATGAACCGGCCTACGACCACCAAGCAACCGGTAACCCCACCTAACGGTTCGCATTGACCATACGTGTCTCACCTACCAATTACCGGAAGCTGAATAGGTCAACAGCTGCCCAATTGGCTACGAAGCAATGCTCAAGGCGGGACGGGATTTACAACCAAAGGCAAGTTTCTCAAAGTTTATTTACTAGCAAGTTAAACAAGTAGCCTACTGCGGAGCTAAGACGCGGAGGAGAGGGAGAGCGAGCTAGCTGAGGGACAAAGCTCTTGATCCTAGAAGAAAAATAAACATAGTAAGTACACTGATAATTAATACGCCCACTGACTACCCTTTTAACGGCCTTACAGGACACCACATTGTTTCTTCATAATATAAGCCACCTATCAGTAAACACACAAAGTCACAGTAACAGTAACACGAAATACGGTAACACATAACACAGTAACAGCATTTAACAGTAACGCAAAACACAGCTCAACTAGGCAACTGTCAGGTAATCCCCCTGTATGCGAGGCACCAACACGCAAGCCGGAATTGACACAGCTACTAATACCAGCCTCGGCCTACATAGCCGCCCCGGTATACTTAATCTCTGCGGTCTGAATGCAAGTAGGAAATTTACAGCCTACATACAACATTACAGGTATTGAGGGAAACGTACTCCAATGGATCCGAGATTTTCTGGTAGGTAGACGACAACGTGTCAGTATTAACGGAACCGTGTCAGACTGGGCATCACTGGGCAGTGGCGTGCCACAAGGAAGCGTTCTTGGGCTTATTTTGTTCGTTGCTTTTATAAACGATCTGCCAGAAGCAGTGTCCAGCGTGTACAGGCCTACACTTCAGCGCTGACATCACTATGTTAAATGCAATTACGGAACCCTGAATGATGTACCTTGACTATGCATGTGCTAAAGTCATGGCCGCACTGCATCCCTTATGTTTAGGTTAAGTATATTGCATTATAGAGAAAATCTGTACCAATATCGTAACTGATGCCTAATCAGAAAATACGGTATTAATTACAATTGAGCAGCACACAAGTCAGGTCTGAACGTAATCATTGTCGAGTTGATACGTATGACTGCTCACCTACAACCGTGGTTGAATTAATTCAACCATGCCTATAACTATTTTTCTTTACACTTTTTTTAGTAACGTTATTAAGCGGCTTAGCTTGAAAATTCCGAAATTCGAACGAGTACGGTGCGAAAGCAACGCTTGCTCCACCAAACATTTGTTTATTGCAAGTGGGCAATAACTATTACGAGATAACGCATTTCCTTAACAATGATTATATAAAGTAATTACTTTTTTTTCGAACTGCAGGGTTTGCTGGTTTTAGCCATACCGAAGAGGACCAATTATTCGAGATGCTATTTAAACTCAACCATGTGAGGTTGATTCCTTTTAAAATGTGAAAGGAATACTGGTGTTAGCCTTGAATTTGCCAAATCAAGCCTGTCGTCGATTCTAGACATCGCAGAATCCTTACAGCTTGCTGGCCTCATACCTGCAACTCACCGCTCCTTCTTGCTGTTATCAACCGCCCTGCCGTTTCACCAGTTTTGACCATAACTGTCAAATGAAGCTGGGATCGAACCCGCAACTGACTCCAGTCGTGGTACTCTGAACTATATATAACCAATGGGCCACCCTGGGAACAATTAGTTCTGGCTTGGAGTTGCCTAAGAATTTTCATTCACTAAGCAGAGCATCGCTGACATTGCTGGTATGAATGCAGGGCGTGTGATTATGGTTAGTTTTAAAAATTGTTCTTATATACTATAGGGTATGCATTACAATTGTAGTATGAAAGATTTATATTAATCTTATTATATGGCAAGGAAAATGAAAATTTAAATTTGATACGATGAACAAGGTATTCATAATCCTAACAATGTATAGTGTCGGCTAGGGCTAGAACGAATTTTAAGGACATTCGACGCAGTAGGAGTGCGACTACTCAGAAGCTAATGTTATTAGCTGTGGTAAGTTGAAAAGATAAAAAGTAACAAATATACTTGAGATTACTACTCTTGCAGTTCCGGCATCGAACATTCTGCGCATATCTGCAGCATAATTAATAATATGATGTAATAGCGGTTTCAGCGTTTTTAATAGGCCGTAGGCATGTCGCCGATTCTTAACATCGCAGAACATTCACAGCTTATTGCGGTCTCGAACTCGCAACTCACTGCTACAATTCTGCTGCGCTTTAACCGCCCGGCCTTCTCGCCGATTCTGTCCAGAAACTGACGCACAGAGCTGGGCTCGAACCCACACCTCTCCGCGCCAATCTTGGTACTCTGAACTTTAACCACTGGGCCAGCCTGCAGTCAATTACAGTCGGCTAAAGAAGAAGGGCAGCAACCTGTCTTTTCCAGATACATGCAGCATGCTATTGATTTTTTTTTGCCGGGAGCTGAGTGGCTTGTACTGCTATTTATCGTCTACTAATTTGTAAACAGATCACCTTCTGAGAGACTTAGTTGAAGACTGCCGCCGAGCTAGCAAGCCCTAGGAGGTCTTAGATCTTAGAGGGAAGCGACTGAGCAAACTGAACACTTATCTCGTCGTCACTATTTTTAAAACACTGTCCCAGTGATTGATTATCCGATAGCAAATAACATCGATTGGTGGATAAGATCAGTAGATCAGTATGTAGCTATGGAAAGATCGGGTTCCAAAGGCCGGATCCCTTGTGAATCAAGTCACGAAAAGTTCAAGAATCGGCAACAGGCCATGGGCCTATTTCTTCAGCGCCGACACTTCTATTCTATTCTATTCTATTCTAATCCGACTATTGCACGACTCCAAATTGTCCTTAACAGGTCGAATGCCTTTTTTAAATTCGTATGATGGATATTTATGATTTTTATCGTTTCAGGCATGATTATAGCCTTTTCTCTTTGTTGTCACAATTTACCTTCGTTGACAAACTAAAAAATGTTAATACGTCACTGATGGGAGGTCTCTGAAGTTTTATCCAATATATACCAGATTGATTTGAGAGCAATATAATCTCTTTTTAGAATATTTTTCTGCTTGAACCCCACTTTAAAAGTTCTTGGTTGCTCTGAACATTATCAGAATTTTTTAAAATTTTTGTTGGTTTTTCAGTATTGCAGAAATTATCTTGTTTACATTCTCTTATCGCTACTCGCTAGGACAGTGAAACAGCGATAAGTATTCAGTCAGAACATATGTCATTTGATACTGTGAGCTGGGAGTTCGAGTTCGACCATTGTAATTTGATACATCGGGAATGCTTTTAGAATTCTCCTGGTGCTAACGAAAAAGTCATGATTTCTGAAGAAAACAGGCTAAGTTAATGGTCAAGAACTTCAACTGACGTTTCAGTTTTAACAATTTACTCCCGAGTCCTGACGAGACGAGATGATGTGTGCTACCTGGAGAGCATTTGCTGACATCCGGTAGTTGAATTTTACTCTAATGTAAACGTTTTTACAATTTTATTTCCCAACAAAAACTACAATATGAGTTGGGTGTCAGCAAGAGATAAAGATAAATATGGAGTTGGTGAGTAAGATAGAAATATAAATATTGTAATGAAATTAATTTGATAGTGTAAAATCTTGTTAATGTAACACAAGTTCTTTCATACTCAAAGTGCTATTCTATGGGCCTATTGCTTCAGCACCTATTTTATAAACAAATACAATCAGACACTCGATAATTAATCAAGTATAAATTATGCTGACTTGTCTCTAAACAGACTAGGTAAACTGGTGAGATTGCTTCCCTGATCCCTCCATAGGCTCCATTGGGCTTTAGTCACAGATTAGCATTAGCCTAGGTACCGTACTGCTTAGCTTAGAAAGTTGATATTTTGGAGAGTATTCCAGAGAAATGAGATGTTCTGTGGATTCTAAGGTGTGAATTAATTATTAGGGATATGAATTCTCATTGCATTCTCGAAAGAAAATTACCCATAATTTGAAAAAAATTCTTAGACACAAACTTCTTCATTAGGCCCTCAATCAAGAATATTAAGTTTTTTATTGATGCTGTTCAAAAATAATGTCTGCAATATTAAATTTACATTGCTATATTCATTTGTTTTACTTATTTATTGCTTACAATTTACATTCTAATATTTAACATTTATTGTATGTATTCAATTTTATTTATTTTTTCAGCAATCGCAAGCTTCCAAGCAGAGAATGAGATGTGCCTCAAGCTCACAGTTGGAGATTCGGTTCATTTGTTGGAAGTCTTTGGACAACAATGGGCGTTTGGCTATGTTACACAAAATGTTGACATCAAAGGCATTTTTCCAAGATGCTTCATTCAGGTTTGAAGGAACTCTAAGGCTGATATTGTAGCAAGTTAAGCTATTATTTGATACTTGTACCTGTGATATGATTGATATTGGTATTAAAACATTTTCTAAATTGTACTAAGGTTGTATACTTGCTTGCAACATCGTAATTTTTAATTCATGATCATTCAATCAAAGCTGCATTTGTAGGAGAAAAAATATTTAAACTTTTCTGGTTAGCATACGTATATGTGAGAAAATTAGATAAATTTTTCTTATTTAAATATATGAATTTAGCTTATTGATCTTCTCAATTTTTTTTGTCTGCTTGATTAATCAAGGATGAGACATGTTAAGCCATTCACTGCATATTTTTAAATAATATAAATGCGCAGATATGGTTGTTGTTGTTGTTCTGGAATATTTTGATGGTTTTCTCCTCCATTCCAGACTCGAGAATGCATTGTTGATAAGTCGGGACCTGTTGAGAGAGTCCTGCCTAAACTTCCTGCTGTTATTCAAGAACTAACAGCTGCTCTCCGTGAATGGCGTGTACTTCTCCGGCAAAGTTTTTTGGTAATTTTTATTTACTGTCACCAGTTGAATGAATTTTTTCTTTAAGCTTCTACTTCTAAAATCTAATTACCATTAATGGCTTTATGCTCTAAATTCCCCATAATAAATTCTGCATGTACTTGGTCGTGCACCATTTTTCAATTATTGATTATTCAATTCATAACTATTATGCATTTGAATAATTGTTGGTGGACTAATCATTCTACATCTATGCTGAATAAGCTTTAATTTCTTATGCTTTACAGGATGGATCAGACAAGTTCACAAAGTCTTATGAAAGTATTCTTCACTTGCTTTCCTTACGGAAGAAGATTTTACTCGACCAACTTCCTCTGGATGAGATGCGAAGGCTGAAGCATGAAGTAACCTGCAGCATTGGCTTAGTTAACAGGTTGGCAACCATTCATATTTCTGTCACAAACTATTATTAGCAAAATTTGTTATTTTCTTCCAAGACTTTCAGATCATAGCTCTTAATTTAGTTATATGTAATCATTATTGAAGCATGAAGAGTACAAATGCTCTTAGTAATTTTCTTCACTTATTTGTTCAAAATTGATGTAAGTGTACTTCAAAAATGATACAAGGCATATTATATATGAGGCAAGACAAAAATGAGGTGTCACTGTGTTAAACTGAAATTCTTTCTCAGACTTTTGGGATTAGACTTGGTCGTTCGAGATGAGGCCGGCAACATCCTCAACTCGCACAACAATTCAACTACAAGACTTTTCAGGAGGCACGTCTTCACTGATAATCAAATTTCTGGGACCCTGGTAAGAAATTATAAAGTAATAGTCAATTTAGACACCTTAGACTTCTGCAATATAAAATAGATGAATTAATAGATGATATTATGCTTCAGTAATAGTCAATTTAGACACCTTAGACTTCTGCAATATAAAATAGATGAATTAATAGATGATATTATGCTTCATTATAAAAGAAAAGTCTCCTAGAAACCAATTTATTTTATATAGGAAACATCCGTTGTCATAAATATGGCGGACCCTGTACACATAGATAGTTATTCAGTAATAATTTAAGAAAAAAAATTGAATTGAGTTTATCCAAAAATTATTAATTATTGCCCACAACAATCTAACAATCTTCACTTTTCTCAAATTGAAAATCCAAAATTCATTGCAGTATAATTAAAAAAGCCTGGTGGATCAGCCTTGTAAGCTAAGAAGCACTGCTCTTTAACTTGTTGTTGATGCATGCAAATAGACTACCTTTTCTGTTTATCTCTTTGTTTTTTTGTGTAACCTGTTAATTTATATATTTTTTTATGCAGGGAGGTGGGAAAGGTGCTGATCAGGGTCCTGAGCGCAAACCTCACTTGGCATGGACATTTCATGTCCAGTTCACTAATGTTATCCTCAAAGTAAGTAAAAACTTTTGGATTAATTTTTGGGCAAAAAATTTATATTACTGAAAATCATTTATTCTCCTTCAAACATTTATATACGAAATTTGAGTCAGGAAATTGATGATTAGCTCAAGACATGAACAGCTGTTGTATGTAATCTTTTGCTCTTCTGTAGGAAAATTAAACTATTATTATGGAGCATGCATAATTAAAAATTCTTATCAATTTACATGTTGCATGCATAGTAGCTGCTGCGTCACTTTTATTGCAGCCCCAATTTTTCGTATTTTCTGCTTGCTATATCATTGAACATTTTTATTTGTAAAAAAAATTCTATCTATTCAAACATGTTTTGTATGAAATTTCAGGTTCCGACTCGTTGTGAGGTATCAGTCACCTTGCAGCTCAGGGAGGCAGACGACAGGCTAACCACACTAACAGAGCCTTACGTTTTTTATTGGACAGCCGAGGGCTACTCAGACGACACAGATCTTTATCAAAAGCTTCAGGTCTTTTACACTGTGAGTAGAGGTATACAATTGCCACTTGCTCATTTCTTTGCCACTTGGCACTTAAGTTCTTGATGAGAATGTTCTTTTAATTGTAAAATAATTGCCAAAAGTCCTCTATATTATTCATAGTTTGTTCTATGTCTTATGTATGTTAATTAAATATATATCATTGATCACGTTTCTGTCAAAAATAGTGATCACGATAAAATAGTTTTATATGACCAGTATCTACACAGCAAATGTAGACAAATGTCAAAGTATTAAGAACCATGCATGTAATATACGTACCTCATTATCACTCCAACTACTACCGGTATTATTAAAGTGTGTACAAATAAAACAACACATTTATGTACTATGTGTTATAACTAGTACATTGTGAATAATTTACCTTCTTAATCAGTTTTTTAATGTCTTATGAATTAACTTAACGCTAAATGTATTTTTCCTCACAATACCGAAGTGAACTCTACCGCCAGGAGACTAATATGAGCTGAAGGAATGATCCTTTCATCAGTGCTCGTGTTCAAATGTGCTGAACTGTTTGTATTTTGTCAGGACCTGAGCCGCAGCATAGCGTCAGCAAACAGAGTGTGGCTCGTGGGAACCGTCGTGCAGCTGGGCAAGTCAAAGGCCTCGGAAAAGGATCGCAGGAAATCTCAAGTTTCCTTCAGTCCTGCAAACCTCTCCTCGTCCACTTCAGAGGACATTAATAACAACCTCAAGAGGCATGTCTCCAACACTGCTGCTATATTTTAAATGAACAAAAAACAATATTTTTAAAATTATTATCATAAAAATATTATGTTGACTTATAAAACGCACAATTCTTACTGGATTTCCTCAATTTTAGTGTTATAATTTGTTACGGTTAAAGGGCAGTTCTTACAACCACTTGAACTAATCCCTAACAAGGTTGATAATAGAACCAATAGAATAGAATTGTCGGCACTGAAGAAATAGGCTCATGCCCTGTTGCCGATTCTTGAACTTTTCTGACTTGATTTACAAGGGATCCGGCCTTTGCAACCCGATCTTTCCATAACTGACGATTGATTGAGATAGCTGCTGGACTTATTGCCTGGTCCATAAGGTGCTAGGCATTTTACGACTGAACATATGCTTAACATTTTCTAGGATGGGTCATTTAAGATTTTGTCTGCCAATGCCACCAACTAAGTTATCATTTGTGGTGGTTAGAATTGACTTCTTCTGAAAGAAATGTTGCTAAAGCTAGTTATTATTTAGCAATATTGCAATAAATTTGATAATAAGCCTCAGGATGCACACGTGCTGGATGTGACCAAGATTTTTGCAGAAAATAATAAACTTCATGATGTGATCAAGGTTTTCAGTAGAGATATAGTAGACTTGAGATTATTGTATCGCTTTCTTAAGCCAAATCGCAAGTTACATAATGACTCTGATATGTTGATTCTGGCTGAAAGTATTTGAGAGAACAATTCTCATTGCAGACCGTACGGCGCGTTCGTCCTGGACGTGACGAAGATCCTGGAGCAGCAAGGCAAGCTCGACGCGCCCTCCTCGTCCTCGACCATCAGCGCCCTGGCGGCTCAGGAGCTCCCTGCTCGCTTTACCTTGTCAGTTCTGCAAAACTTCTTTATACGAGTTCTTTTTCAGAGTTTCAATTACTCTCAAATTATTATTGTTTTCATTATCGTTACCGGTACTTACCCTTGTGAGTGATGAAGAACATCTGTTCCCCACATCTGAATTATTTTTTCAAATACCTATTAACTTTTTATTATTACTGTATCCATCATCCTTATTTACCCTGTTCAGTACTGGAGAGCTTCTCTCCCCTTAATATCAAATAATTTTCAAATTTTAATTAGTCTAAAGTTACTACTGTATTCACAATCTTTATTTAGACAGTAGGTTAATTTTTTGAAAGTTAGAGTATCGCACAATTTTCACGAGAATACTCGCAAATGTAGGTCAGAGCAGCTGAAAAATATTCGTACATCAAAATAAATGCTCTTAGATTTTAGTAAGTAATGTCTCTGCTTGACCCAATGATTCCGTTTATCTTTGGAATTATCTGTATTTCCTGCAGCCTTGGATTCCAAGTAAGTGTACCTTACGATGTATGTGTGTTGAACATTTTTACTCATTTAAATGTATCGCCTCTTGTACGTAAATAAATAATATTGTATGGTGTAGGTGCGGTGAGAAGGAGAGCCTGAGCTCGGTGGTGCGCGCTCTCATGGACCAGAGTCCCGACTACCGCCCCGGGGGAGAGAACGTCGTGTGTCAGCTCGCCTTGTATAACGGCGATATTGAGACTGTGAGTGGCGATACGGCGATATTGAGTGATATTAGTGATAAGGCGATATTGAGACAGTGAGTGTGGCGATACTGCGATATTGAGACGGTGAGTGGCGATACGGCGATATTGAGACGGTGATTAAGTGAAAGTAACCTACAAACTATCGAATCAGATACAAAATTGATTAGTTTAAAGAGAGCTACTCACGTACGTCCGTCTTCGACGAAGTCTCCAGGGAGCCAAGTTTAGGAAATATTCATTTGAATTTGTCCTGGACTCCGGAAAACAAGAAAACGTACTCCAATTTCCTTTTTAAGGCATAACTTCACTAAGTGTTTACGTCGTTCGAATATGAATTTTATTTTGATCTTGTTTGAAGACCAGACTTCTTAATGATGAATGTGTCATCAAGTCACAGTAATCTAAACCTAAACTAACCTAACGTAGCTCAAAAAATCGTGTAATGAATAGTTCCGTGGCCCAGTGGTTACAGTCAGGCTGTCAGTAGAGTACCAAGATTCGCGCAGAGAAGCGACCGGTCGGACAAAAGCGCGTGGGCGTTAGCGTGGGTTACAGCGTGGGCCAGCCCGGCCCTGAACCTGCCCTATACCAGCTCTCCCTTTAGCCACGTTTTATTACCTCAATTCGTAACCAATAATTATGAAATTTAATATATGGTTTCACATGCTTATTGCGCAGTCGCGACGATTTTTTTAATAATTTTAACCCATCTCCTTTGCAAATAAAACGGTAAAACGGGTGCAAACGGGCAAATTCCGTCCCGTAGCCACGTTTTATTCCCTCAATTCGTAATCAATAATTATGAAATTTAATACATGGTTTCACATGCTTATTGCGCAGTCGCGACGAT